ATTAGCAAATTAAACAGGAAAGAAGAAATTCCACCAGTTGGCTGTTGAAATTTTCACGCCTCGACTTTCTCTCGCACGAGAACAGCAACAAACTCTGCTTCAAGCTCTGACGAAAGAACCACCCTCGAGATAATAAAATTCACGATTATCCTCCGCCAAAGAAGAAACGAGAAACAAACGTTAAGAGCACGAGCTTCATCAAGAGCTTCTTCACATTCACTTTCACCGAATTTCACCCGTTCGCGATTCAGTTTTCAAGAATGGCGAACCCTCGAACGTAAGTGAAGGTTCCTCCGTCGCAGTCGAAAGCAAAGATAAAAGTCAAAATTGCCACCCGGTAAATGATGGCGCACGCGAGACCGGCCGAGGATATTCCTGAAGCGACCATATATCTTTGGAATTGCGTAACGTGCGCCCAGAGCCGCGCGGAAACAGAGAGAAACGAGAGAAGAAGAAACAGCAAGAAGAAGAAGAAGAAGAAGAAGAGGAAGAAGAAGAAAGTGAGAACGGCGAGGAGGAAGGGAGAAGAAGAGAAAAGAGAACGCGCAAGAGGGGCTAGAGTAGATCGGCGGACCGTAGAAAGTGCACATCGGGAAAGCGAACGAGGCGGACGCATAAACGCGGCCATAAATTATCTGTCTGGCGCTCTGTGTGTACGCTTATGGAATGCATCTCTCGCGTGTCCCTTCGACTCGACTCGAAGATTAGCCTTCGTCCTTTGACAAACGTTGTTCCTTATTAGAACAGGCGAGTTGATTTAACGAGGTTTAGAACCTGAAAGCTCCAGCACGCCGCTGCTGAAAGAGATTGTCGAGAGCGGCGAACTTTCCAGAATGGAGTGTACAGTGTGCCATATATAATAGTTTCGTAGACGAGATGCCGGGATTCAGGGATTGGGGAAGCTTGCAATTTGATAGATGGAATGAAAGAGGCCGATAGCGGGACATATAATGCTTTTACGCGTTTATTATATGTATAATATATGTATAAGATTGTATATATTATATATATATATATATATATATTACGTATATTATTATATATTATATTATAAGTATATAATATATAAAATATATAAATAAATATAATAAATATATAATAATATAATATAATATATTATGTATCTTATAATATATAATATATATATAATTATAATAATATAATTATATAATTATATATATTATTTTATTTTATTATTAATACATTATATTGTGTATATTATTTTATTTTATTATTAATACATTATATTGTGTATATTATTTTATTTATATTATTATTAATACATATATATTGTGTATATTACGTATTATATTATGTTTCACTTAATTCTGCAATGTATACCGAGAATTTTTTAATATTCGATTCGATGTTGCCATGCAATTCAACAAACATTTCGACTTCAATTGTTTTAAATTTCTTATAAAACCGAAGAAAATTAATACCGTGTAGTATGAAATTCGCACATTTAAAAATTTTATTTTCACCTTTAACATTATTTAACTAAATTACACGAATAGTGAAAATTATATTCATATTGTAGAATCAGACGACGAGACGTTGAGATATTTATAACCATAAATTTGTCGCAGGTTGACGTGTCATGTTCAGTTGATTCATTATACACTTTTCTATGAAAGGAACGAAGAAATTTCGAAATCCATTCCATTATTTTATTTAAAAATATTTCGTACATCACTCGTTATATTGTGTTATTTGTTTATTTTATTAAAATGGAAAATTTATTTATTTTATTATTATTTTATTTACAATATTTGTTTGTTTATTTATTCTATTGAAAAGAAGAATTTTCCTCACGTCGTAAAGATATCGAAACCTGAATGATTAAATTCAACAAGCATGATGTAATAATTTTCTTCTTCTGCCTTGCGTAATGCGGCAATTTAAGGATAAGAACCGCGTTTAACTTTTATTGTCCCGGTGTGTATCACGTAATAAGTGAGGTAACGAACGGAACACTGGAAAAAATATCCGATCCTTCGAACACGGGGGAAAATCGAGCTTGCTAATCTTCGTTTGTTAGCTAAACGTACGCGCGGCTCTTAACTCGATACGGTAAGATTTAGCTGGAACAATCTCCAGTTTCGCCAACGTTGGTGTTTAACTTCTAATTATCGGTTCGCGTTAGCTCGTCGATAAAACGATATTCTACTTTTAGAAGTTTAGAAACCTCTGGCGAAGTTACGAACTTCTATGGAGGAATTAATATGAAAATTTCTGGAAAGTGGCTGGGAAAAAGCTGACAGAGAATGATCGTATATTTGTCAAAATTACATATAATCAATCGTATACGTAGAATATATTTATCAGTCGTGTACATAATTAATCGTATATGTAACCAATCAAATATATATAATATATTTATCAAAGTTACATACAATCAATCGTATATATATAATACATTTATCAATCGTATATATAATCAATTATATACATATAATATATTTATCAAAGTTACATACAATCAATCGTATATATATATATATATATATATATATATATATATATAAAATACATTTATTAATCGTATATATAATCAATCATATACACATAATATATTTATCCATATATACATACAATCAATCGTATATATATAATACATTTATCAGTCGTATAATTAATCGTATATATAATCAATCACATATATAATATATTTATCAAAGTTGCATACAATCAATCGCGTACATTTAAATTACATACAATCAAACTTACATTTGTCAAAGTTACATATGATCAGTCGTACAGATTGATCATTATTTTAATTCCCATCATTGTTTTGATAAATGGCTAGCTCTGTCAACATTAACAAGCAGTTCTAACAAATTCGTTCGGAGGCAAATATTTCTTTAGACAACCGATCGAACGCGACTTTCAGTCTTTCTTCAAGTAATAAAGTACGTCACAAAAACGACAAAATTATTCGCTGCTATTTACCTGCGGAATCTCACTTCGACAGTAAACGAAAATCAAGAAGAAAGAGAGAGATTGAAAGAGAGAAAGAGAAAAGGAAGAAAGGAAAATCGAGGCCGATCGACAATTCCTAAAGAACGGTGGTACGTTATAGCATTCGATGGCTCTCGTGGCCGGCCGGTGGAATCGGTTGGCTCGTCGAAATACCAGCACGTATCGGCACTAGAGGCACACTCGCACACTGCACTTCTGCATGGCGGAGTACGAACGGACGGACACACAGCCGGCTGGAATACGAATGCTGTGACCCGAGCAAATATATGCGATGCGCGCCGCTTCCTTGTAAACAAGGGCTGCTAAATGCCGTGAAGTGGCTCTCTAGCTCTCGGGTCGAGGCCGCGCGTTCCAAACTTCGTCGTACAACTATCCTCCTGCTGCTTCTGTTACTGCTGCTGCTGCTGCTGCTGCTGCTGGTGCTGCTTACTCGCGAGAACTCCCAACGCAGAAGCGCGATAACTCGAACGAGTTTCCGCTATTGTCAGTTGAACCCTCCCTCTCCATTGCTGTTTCTCCTTGCTCCGCTAATTTCATTATTCCGCACCGATCCTGTGGATTCCGCCCGTTTCGTTCATCGACTACGTGGATCAACAGTCACCTCTGACGCGCGAATTGCTCGTCGAGAACACTCGCCGGGGAAATATGGTCGAGGAACTTGACCGAACTTCGCCATACTTCAGCTTTCGTCAGAAGCTAAGATATATTTCAAAACACATTTGCGAACGGAGAACAATTCGAAAGATTTGAAAATAATGAATTCTTTGTGTGTGTGTGTGTGTGTGTGTGTGTGTAATGCAAAAATCGAGTTTCCATTTTGTCAATGATTTGGTCTTTGAATGTACTCATAAACAAATATTTGGGAGATTCGTTGAATACGACATTTACTTGGAAAAATTTAAGAAGAACACGGTTTTCTGAATGTATTATTTAAACGAACGATTTTTGCAATACACCATTTAAATTCGTCTTTGCGCTGGCAACTGATTGCGGACCGTAACGAGCGACCAAATCGTGTACGATAAATCGTCGCCTTCTTTTTGAACTCGTCGGTATATCGTTGGATAGAAGTTATTGAGAAATTATTAATGAATTTATTATTTGTTTTGGCTGGGTTATACTTAAAATATACTTAAATACTGTGGAAATATTGCAATTTTGGGAGCAAAAAGATTCTCGACGTGCGTGACACGTCGTTCCAACGCAAAAATTGAAATACTTTAAAAATTAAAGAGGTTAAAATACACCAATTTCATCGATTTACACGGAGAAACAGTATCTTCAAAATAATTATATAATAATTGACATATAACTTCCGAGACATTTGACAAAATATATTTTGCATCTTCAACTTTGAGAGTTCGCAACACCCCTTCAATACTGACCATTACCGATAAGAAAAATACGTGTCAAATATTTTTGCGAAAACTATAGTTATTTCATCAGAGTTCGACGATTCCGACTTCGGTGTGTTCTCTTGAAAGTGGAGGAGGTTACGTGTTGTTATAAATGTATTTCGCCATATTTGTTTCGTATAATCGGTCTTTAATTTTCTCCTAGAAGTTCTTCTTTCGTTGCTCTTTTTCAACTTTCTCCTGCAACGAGAGAAACACTTTCACGTTACTCGCGCGCTTTGATATTAGTCAGAGTATAATTAGACAGAAAAGATTGTTCGTTGTTCCTTAACGAACCAGTCTGTACGCCATTTAACGCGTTGCCCGTCGTGCAGCGTCATCGCATTACATCGACGTTACATTGACGTTACAGGGACGCGTGTACACATGTCCTCGTAATACATATCTACGTATGTACGAGCTGGTTGCCGTGAAACAGAAATCCGTAACTCTAACTATCCCCCTAAAGCGTTTATTGTGATAATGCTTCGTTAATACGAAGCCAAATATCCTTTCCCACGGTATCGATATCAACTGAGGGTTGTTTTCGCGTTTCGAGTCTACCTTAATTGCTGACACGGCACAAGAGGAAAGAAGAACTTGAGCATTTAGATTACACTGCTCACAAAAATTAGGGGATATTTCGAAATGAATAAAAAAAAGAGGCATTCGATTTATTTTTTTTTATTAAACAAGAACAACTTCCGTTGACTTGTTTGCTTTTCTGATGTTTCTTGTCTTGCTTCTTTTTTTTAATCGCTTCATATTCATTTTGAAAATTCCCCTAATTTTTGTGAGCGGTATATGTACACTCTTGATCGTGAATATTAAAGTATTCATATCTAATCTGTAGATATGAATACTTTAAATTATAAAGAAAGAGGAAAATTTTAGAAATAAAATGTACCGATATTTTCTTGCTTTTATTTTCTAGTTATTTTGTTAAGAATTTGTATCACGAAACGTTAAATTACGATAAAGTATATATGTGAAAAATATATACACTATAGATTATAATAAATATGAAAAAGATTGTCAAAATTTTGCAACGAACGTAACACTCAAAGGTGTGTGCATTTCATTTACCATGCGACAGCATTAAACTGCTGTCATAACCGAAACGAAATGATCGGAGCCCCTCGCCCCAAAGCTTCTCAATTAATTCAAGCAGCGTCCACACGGACAAAACGTTCCTGAAACAAAAATCTGCCGGACAAAGCAGAGTCACAACCGAAACCTCTCGAAAACCGAGCCACCTCTCGCCAAACAAATTCGTCAGAGACAACAGCGAAAAAGAAAAAAAAAGCAGAGAAAAAGGGAATTAACAGCGGCGAAACTAGGCCAGCCACTTTTCTCCTGGAATCCATTGCCGAAGCGAATTCCAGCGAAAGCGAAATGCCTCGAATGCTTAATCAAATAACGCGCAAAGAATTCGCATTATACACGGAGAGTATGTTCGGTAAATTGTCTCTCAGCCGAAAGAGAGGAGAAAGAAGAAGAGAAGGAAAGCTGCGCGGAAAGGGAGAAAATAATTCACATTTTTCTTCCAACATTGCGTTGAATCGCGAGGAAATTTCGTCGATTACGATAATCGCGTCGTTACTTTAGAATCTAATCAGTCGAATGTCACCACACAGAGATATCGAGGAGGTAACTCCTTAATCACGCTGAATTAATGAAAAAAATATTGTCCCTCGATTGTCACGATTCGCGTCTCACGAGGGGGGGGGGGGGGCGGTTCACGAATAATCGTGAAATTAATTAGGCAATGTTGGCGGAGGGTCGGCTCTCCTTCTCCTCTCGATAATCAACGATTTTCGCTTAACGAGATCCCGTCGATTTTCGCCTATTCACCCATCCAACGACCCAATTCTTTTCCCCAGTTGTCCGAATATAAATCGAGTCCGTGTGTGTGTGTGTGTCGAGAGATCGATAATGTTAACGTACATATTATACGACGCACGTACGTGTGATAATACATATATTATATATATATAATATATAATATATATATAATATACGTACGTGTATTGTATAATATGTATGTTAATATTATCATTATATATATATATATATATATATATATATATATATATATAAATAATGATTTTTCTGGCAAGAACAACATCCGATAATAACACGAGATCCCACGGCTGTGCAAATAATACGAATAATATTTGCGAATTAATTTAATCTGTTATTCGGCGAATTATTAATAATCGTTGATGCTGCGCGGTAAAAAGCGAAAAAGCCATTGAACGTTTGTTACACATGGAAGCTTCGGCATTTTTAAATGTTACATCGGCGAAAAAAACAAACTTTTTCGATCAACCATTTTTTTTTTTTGGTTTTTTTACAAAGCGGTTAGTGCTTTAATCGAAATGATTAAATTTTCAACTGTGACGTTGACGTTTGATGATAAATATTGGAGATTGTTGTTTTCGCAAGCAAGACATAGCAATTTAATTAATTAAACTGCAAAATTCCTTGTGTTCGTGGAAAGTTCGTCAAAAACTCAAAGACGTCACGTATAATGGTCAAAATAAGATGTCCATTTGTAATATTTAGTATGCATTACTTGATAACTTGATACTTAGTTGGATGTAATTACCTCCAAAAAAAAAAAAAAAAAGGAATTTAATAAATACAAGGAAACTGTTAGATGAAAGACATTCAAAGCGAAAGTGAACTCTTGAACCGAAGTCTACCGAAATCGCTGGATTTACACCAGGATTTCGTTGATTTCATTGTCACTGTTCTCTTAGCCTCGAATTCTTCTTAAGAGCACTTTTGCAATTAGACTTAAAATCTCTCTTGGTTTCAAGCCCAAGCTAACCACCGAGCTTTTAACCGTGCTGATTTCAAATTGATATTTGATGTTAAGTAACTCGGAGAATTTTGGAGTTACGGAATTTCTGAAAACTGGGTTACTCCGGGCTGAATCTTGAAATCAAGACGACCCGGGGACTGAAAAGAAAGGAAATAAAATGAATGAAAGAAAATGTCAAAATATGATAATTCTGAAGCTAGAATCCTGAAATTCGCTAGTCAATTTTGAAATCAAACTTGTGTCAAAAAAATCTCGGAACAAAATTATGAAAATCAAGAAACTCTAACACTTAGGCTGGCTGTAAGACAAGACAAGACTCTGACAGCAGGCTCAGTCAATTTTAGAATTTTGAAGTCAAGAGATCTTAAAATCTTGCGTCTGGAACTGTAATATGTAATGACAAGAATCCTAAAGTTTTGAAATCAAGAAAAACCTTGAGACAAAATTCTGAAAAGTAGAGAAGATATAGATCCTAAAGCCTTGAGTTCTTTAGAAATAAAACAATAATCAGACAATCTTTACACTAAAGGATTAACTTTTTAAGTTGGTAATATATTTATCTTAATATATTTTTAATACCTTAATATATTTACCTTTATATATTTACCTTAATATATTTTTTAATAGAAAAGTCGAGGTACGTTAATATTAGCAATTGGCCAAAGTTGTATATATGTACGATAAATTAAGATGAATGTAAAAAACGAAATTCTGAATCATGAATAAATTTTAGAATTTCGGTGTCAAGCACTAATCTCAAAAGCGGAAGGAATATTCTAAAGCCAAGTCTGCTACGTGAATGTTAGAATGAAGACAGCCTCGAAACAAAAAGACTCTGAAACGAAAGAAATTTAGAGACAAATTTCACTTCAGAGTTGATGTTGAATGGTTCTCAAGTACTTGTACGACCATCCAAGGGAGTGTAATCTCAAGATCAAAAAAGTCCTGAGACAAAGGAGGTTATAGCGTCAAATTAACAGCTAAAGCTGCGATAATTCAGGGTCAAAGGGAGCCTGAGACTTAGATGGTCTCTGAGACTAAATGGACTCTGATATCTTAACGACCCTGAGACCAAGAGAACTCTAAGGCTGAGGGTACTCTGGAGATAAATGGACCATGACGACCAAGAAAATCTAACTGCAATGACTATGCCACGAAATGAAATTTTCATATTTTATCATTTTCTTTTCGTCTCATTTTTTTTCTTTTCAGATTTCCTTCTGTGTTTTATGTATTTCCCTCGGTGTTCCTTGACGTTAATTTAATATCACAGCCAAGAATTACCATTTAACAATTTATTTTCTATATATATATATATATATATATATATATATATATATATATATATATATATATATATATATATATAAATTACAGTAGCATGAATAAGTGTCACGAAATGGAAGAGAAACGTATTTGATCTTATCTAGTTCGAGTTTCATAAATTTCAAGATACCTTTATCTAGTCCTATCCTTTTACTCATAACAGTGTTACGATATTTATATATATTTTTTTAATAGCTAATGTAAATTTTTAATTAGAACAGTATAATTTATATGTAATATAATTTTTTTACATAATATTATAACATATAATATAATTTTGTATATAATATTATAACCTATAATATAATTTTTTATATAATATTGTTTTTTAAGAAACATTTTTTTATTTAATTATAACAATATAATTTTTAATTATAACAGTGTCACGTACTTTAATAGCAAAATCTAAATTCAAATTCTTCTTTTCAGTATATTCAAATTCTAGTTTTTAGTATTCATGAAAATTTGCAACCTGTTCATAATAGTCAATAAATTAGTCAATAAATTAGTATTTATTTTTAATTTAAATTCCACTTTTCGTTGTTTACTCTATAAAATATATCGCGAATGTTAGTCCTACAGTGGTAGAATTGCCTGTTTCTGTTGCACGTGATTACACGTACCGTTAAATGTACAAGTATGGAGTGTCGTTGTATTGATCGTAATTGACCGTACCGTTAAATATAAACTCACAGATTGAATGAGATCTATCATTGCTTCGTTTCCATTCGCGTTCAACGCCATAATTCACCCGAGCTATGACTAATCGAAACGCGTCCGGTACAATCGTATTTCTTACGTCTCTGTTGAAGTTGTAATTTAGCTTCCCTGGCGCTATCGTCGATCATTCGCTTCGATTTTCTAAAATTCTATTTTCACGATCCGCGAAATTCGCACTCACTTTCTAATTCTCACGTGTCGAGCATTTTTCTTCCCCCTTCTTGAGATAGTACGCGCTTGTAGTTCCACAAGTATATATTTCAAATTCAAGCGAATCAGTGAGCTCTCCATCGTCACATTTATGTATTTTATTCTATTATATGATATAATATTATATTATTATTGTTTATTTTATTTTACTATATTTTATTATATTTATACTATTTATTATATTATGTTATTTATTAAGAGTATAGAGTTTATTAAAACAGAATTTTCGAAAGTATAATGCGACTTAATTTTTAGAACTTTGTAACGTTAGCGTTATTTCTTTTCTACTGATAGTGTGAGGCATATTATATAAGGAGACTGGGAATTTTTATATATTTCTGAGTGATATATATTTCTATACATCACTCACGATACTCAAAAGTAATACTCGCGACAGTGAAAAGTGAAATATCGAAAATAGAGTATTTGCTGAAGTAACAGCGAAGAGCGACTGTGTTGACAAAAATATGAAACTGCACGAAGATCCGCAGTCTATTAATAAGTATCAATTCTATTTTTTTTTTTTTTTCCTTTTAGAATAATTAGGCACAGCATTTATTCATCCATCCACGTCGTAAATGATCCAACCAAGTATCCTGAAACTTACGGATGTATGATGTACGATCGACAAACTTGGTCATGAAAAGCCGCGAAGTTTTCATAAAAACTTTTATAATAATTCGGTTGAAACATAAAGTTTCATACTCTGTAACGTGGAAACAGCTTCCGTGCGAAAGCGATGTCAACACTCTCTTGCTCGCGCTGCCAATTTACAATACGAATGAAGTTGCGTGGCAAATATCCTGCCAACGAATTGTATGCACGTTAATAATAAAACAAAGAAACGTACAGAGCACTGTGGATAATGGAGATCGTATTAGCGGCGAACCACGTTAACCGATAAAAGGTAGAAACAAAATACAACCGAGTCTATTTATAACGACATCGTCAATATCGCTTTCGAACACCTACCTCGCCATTGTTCCAAATGTGACGATGCAACGAAGAAACTTAAAAGTATCCAATCGCTCGTCGAGCAATAAAACACGGTACTAAAATATATCGAATTTTCTAAGAGAAATAAACCCGTCTCTCTCTCTCTCTCTCTCTTTCTCCGTACGCGACACAATTGTAACATAAGCGAGACGTTTTCCTTAGAACAAATCGACATTGCTGTAGTCGATAGTGTTCAGTCTGAAAAATTGAAACTGAAATTTCAGTCGCAGTTTGAGCAACCAGTATTCAACCACTCTTGAGCAATGAAAAATATATTGAATTTCCTTTGGAACTTGAAATTGATGTTATCAGTCTGAAAGGTTGAAATTGAAATTCGAGAGTTTGTTAAAAGTGGATCTCTCTCTTGAATGTTACAACTTCTAACCTGCAAGTCTAACTTGATGTTGTTGTTCCCTTAAATTCATTAAATCCATTGATCCGTTAAATTCGTTCGAGATGTTCGAAATAATTAATTTACTTACTTGATAGACTTGAACAAAATAAATTACAAATATACTATAACATAATATTGATAGTATAATTTACAAATAAATTACAAAATAAACAAATTGTAACAAGTGAAATTCAATTATTCTCGCTCCATGCGTATTGGCGATGAAGAAGAAAAAAAAAAGAAAAAAAAAAAAGAATCCCAGACGACAAGAAATCTCGAACGATACGAGCAGACACGCAGGTTGAGAAATGTTTTCGAATGAAAGTATACGGAAGATAGGGAAGCTGAAATTGAGAGGTTGGAGATTGAAGAATTCGTTTCCTACCGAAACCGAGAGCGGAGAGACAACACTTTCCCAAAGAGACGCGCCCCGATCCCGGAAGCAGAAACGCTCGACTTGTCAACCGACAGCAATAACCTCGGGTCCCGTGAAAGCCGAAGCGTCCGACGATCCGTTATTTGAAACAAAAGCAAACAACCGGGCCGCGAGGATCGATCGTGAGATCTTTTATCGAGGCGATCCCTGGCGAGGGAGAATCGGCGTCGCTCGCCTCCATTCAGAGCGCGCTCGTCTTCGCCCGTCTCCCAATCCGAAAGCAATGAGCTCCCATTATTTAATCAGCGAAACACGTCTCGTTAACGATGTGGGTCACACACGAGCACGTTTCCCGGTGTCTTTCGCACGGGCTCGAAGCCCGTAAATCTGAAACAGCGAGCGGCGGCGGCGGCGGCGGGTGGCTGCGCCTCCTCGAGCCTCTGCGCCTCTCCGCTCTCCTTTCATCCTTGCCTCCGTTTCCGGAACGTCTGGCATCGCGGCGAGAGCACGCATCGCTGCCCCCTCGAACAATGGCCGGCCTCTCGGACCACGCTCTCTCGTTCTACGCGTAGATTCGCACGAAACGATAACGTTTCGCACGGTAAACATGTTTTTCCGACACGATCGGCCATCCTCTGGACACTTGACAGACAGGGAAAGCCCCGTCTTTGAGGAGATTTAAATTTTTCGTGTTGCGTCAGTCAATCGATATTAATTCGCTTGCAAATTGAAGCGAAATGAGAGTGCAGAAAATTGAACACGTTCACGATATACGATATAAATTTGATTTGTATCGACGTGGATGCTGTAGCATTCACGTTGTATACTGGGTGGGCCGAAATTTGTAATAGGGGGGGTGATTCTCAAAAAATGAGAAAACAATTTGGCGTAACATTTTTTTATCTGGGGGAAGGGCTAGGTTTTCGAGAAAATCGACTTTAAAGTTTGTTCGTCTTTGTGAACGATTTAGTTGTCTGTTACTCTACCGCGGTCTGTTGTCTCCGTCCGAGATAGTGTTTACAAACGTTATTTATTATGTGGTTAAAGTGTTCCTACTGATAATTAAGTACAAAGTGTACAAAGTGTTTCTACTGATAATTAATTTTTTATTCCTTATTATTAGTTTCTATTGCGATACTACGATACAGTACACTATTACAAGTATTATTCCTTATTACTAGTTTCTATTGCAATACTACGATACAGTACACTATTACAAGTACTGATAATTAAGTACAAAGTGTTCCTACTGATAATTAATTTTTTATTCCTTATTATTAGTTTCTATTGCAATACTACGATACAGTACACTATTACAAGTATTATTCCTTATTACTACGATACAGTACATTATTACAAGTACTGATAATTAAGTACAAAGTGTTCCTGATAATTAATTTTTTATTCCTTGTTACTAGCTTCTATTGCAATACTACGATACAGTACACTATTACAAATATTATTCCTTATTACTACGATACAGTACATTATTACTAATACTGATAATTAAGTACAAAGTGAACAAAGTGTTCCTACTGATAATTAATTTTTTATTCCTTATTATTACTAATTTCTATTGCAATACCACGATACAGCACACTATTACAAGTATTGTCGAAAATGTCGTCCTCGTTGCTGCATACATAAGTTTGCTCGGCGAATTAATGACATCCGAACAGAATGAAACTAATGTTTCTTAATTTCTCGAATTCCCCCATAATATATTGCTTTAAATGTGTGATATTTGAAATATTGTCTTTATAAACTTTTTTGGTAAAAAAGAAATCTAGATGCGTGAGGTCCGGAGATCTTGGCATCGCGACCGATCCAACACTAATACGTTTTGATTTAAAATATTTTTAACCTCCCTCGTGTAATGTGGCAGTTTCCAACCGTCGTGTTGGAAAATCATACTCCTTATACTAGCTAAGGATACATCCTCTAACAACAAAGGCAATTCATTGCGTAGAAACTCAAAGATGACCAAACTTTGAAGTCGATTTTCTCGAGAGAAAAAATCGAGCCCCAAATGAAAAAATGTTATAACAAATTTTTTTCTTATTTTTTGACTGTATGGTATTCCGAGCACTTGGACAAAATGTGACTAAATGTGAATAAAAATTTGGATACCGATCAATTAGTTTAAAATACTTTATTTCGAATATACGATTGATCGAATACGTCGACAAAATCAGAAAGATATTCTATGTATATGGAAGGATTCGTAGACGGCACTCAGAATGGATGAATTATACTAAACTTGACAAAAAACGTTACATAAAAACGTACAACGAATGCATTTGTAATCTTCGATCGATCAAACTTACCAACGAAATTTCTATTTAATCCAAAAATACTCCACATTCGAATCCATCGAGCATGTTCTCGTTGCTCTCTTTCAATCATCGAGAGCTCGGCTTTGCTTGAAATCATCCACGTGCCAACCAATCGTGCTAATTACCTAACCGCGATGTTAAATCCCACGACCATCGATGTGCCAGCTACATTACCGTGGAAAACTTTTCTATAGAGGTAAAATCCCCTCGTGCTCGAGAAGGAAACAGGATCTAAATAATTCGAATAAAAAAATCCGAGGCCGAGGTTTTCTCGAAAAATTCGCAGCCACGATTCGCGAGCCAATTGACCCAGCATTTAATGAAATTGGTTCGACAAAATTCATTCGCGATGGGTCGTTTCGTTAATTATTAGCTCGATTCTTAATTAATTGGCGTCCTTGAGCGACGTTCGTCTCTCGTGGCAACGAACCCCCGCTCGGTTTTTTTTTCATTTCGACGTTTTCGAGTACGAGAGAATGTTTATTAATTTTCTCTCAGTATGAAAGGATGCATTTTCGAAATGAAATTCCAGTTGATGCTTTCATTTTTATATACATGTATGTGTGTTTTTCTCTCTCTCTCTTTTTTTTTACTTTCTTTCTATTTCCCGCTGGCTTCGTGTTTATTAAAACCCTCTCGCGACGAGAGAAAATTCTTGGCTCGCCGTTTTCATATTACGTAAGGAGGAATGAGCTGAAAGGAAAAGGGAAAAGGACCGTTTCAAACCGGAGGAAAACACCGATAAAGTATCTACTGAGTAACTGTTGAAGCTGGGGCGAGATGTAACTTTTCATTTTTCTTCTTCTTCCCTTTTTTTTTTTTTTTTCTCCCTCTGCACTGGTAGATGAGAGGAATTGAAGAATAAAAAATTTCGTGACATACTTTTTCAGCTCCTCGGTAGCTACAAATTATTTCTTACTACGCGGAAATATTTTATGATAGTTTTGTGCATCTCTTTGTGAAAAGTCTGAATTTAAAATTGCATTAATTAACAAATTTGTAGGAACTGTATCTTTTTAATATTTTCTTACTGTGTATTTATTTATTACGTTGGATTTTAGTACACGTACGTAGACACAGAAATATTTCTATTATAACTTTATGTAACACAACTTTCTCAAGCATTCAGACCATTCCATTGATTACGATTCAAATATGTATATTTCTCTCTGTAGATTTCCCATCGCATTTCTAAGTTACACGGCTGTGACGCTTGAATAATTAGTTTTAATTCCACGTTTCGTATCATCCATTGAAACCAAAGGCTGCAGATACGTGACAGCCATACTCACTGTCATCAGCGCTACGTGATCTAGTAAATACAATTTCAACAAGAAGATCGAGCGTTTGCATACAAAGATGAAAGCTAAAATATCTCGCACAGTGTCGCCGTTGCACTTCCAACGCAATTGAAAATTTATATCTACATCCCGCGATAGATTAATTATCTGGTATTACTCGAAAATTTACTCTTAAGTTCGTCGACTTGCACTCTCAGATATATTCGTTATCGATCGCTTGTTATCACGTCCGTTTATTGTAGATAATAAAAACTTGTATTTAGCAAATAATTGCTTCGTAACTGTAATGTTCTATACTGCGTAAGAAATTTCTAACGAAACGATAATGTCGAATTTTCAATGGTGCGACAGATACACTCGAGCACTATACAAAATGGGAGACTAGAAGTTTTTAAAAATTGTTTCTGTATTATAAAATATTGTTTTCTTAAATTATTCCAACGTCACGAACCTCGCTCCGTAAAATTCCACATTTTTCTCCCTGTCAATGTTTCTCTATTGGTCTGCGCTAAAAGAAGGGAGAGAAAGAGAGAGAGAGAGAGAGAGAGACTTGCAAAGGGGAAGGATAAAAATAAAAAAAGGAGCGCGGCTCGTCCCACTTTCTAGA